ACTCTCAGAGAGATCCAGCAGTGTTACACCTGGGCAGGTACTCTCAGAGAGATCCAACAATGTTACACCCGGGCAGGTACTCCCAGAGAGATCCAGCAGTGTTACACCCGGGCAGGTACTCCCAGAGAGATCCAGCTGTGTTACACCTGGGCAGCTATTCTCTAATGGTACAGGAACTTTAGACAATGAAGAGAAAAGGAGAATGGAAACTGTGAAAATAAACAGGGTGATGGAACACAGTGAAAGAGAAATATAGATAGTGGATGAGAGATGAAATAGAAAGCAACAAATCTATGAAAAGAAATGCATAGGGAGAGAATGGCGTAGAGAGAAAAACAGAACGAGGATGAATATATGAAAGGAAATTAGAAACTACAAGCCCAATAAAGTGAAAGTCAAATTAGAAATGATGTCTGAGTAGAAGAGAAGATATGACATTTAAACTTACATTCATAGCAGCAATGTCATTCTCATAGGCTTCTCTCACTTTTTTCATGATATCTTCCTCAGCCTTACAACAAGCTTCGATGGAGCCTTTCACTGTGATAGTTCTCTCTGGGTTATAAATTGTTAGGTCCTGCAAGCTGGTACAGCAAGTGATAAATTTAGGAATAGTAAGTCTTTGAAAAAACATTTTCAAAGGAAAGCTTTTGTTTGATGTATCTTCTGATAATTCAATTTACAAATTTCATAGCAAATGAAAACACATTGCTACAAGCTGCCTGAGTAGCATCATAGAATGTTTAACACAGGATGAAAGCTTTGAGCTCATGATGTCTACACCAGTTTTTAACGAGTTATCTAAATAGTCTTACTCCCTGCTCTTTCGCCATAAAAAAAACCTTTCCCTTTCAAATGCTTTTCCAATTGCTTTTCTGAAAGTTATTACTGAATCTGTTTCCACCACTCTTTACTAATGCATCGCATTCCATATATAACTTGCCCTGTCACAAAAGTCTCCTTACTCCCACCCAACCCCACTCCACCAGCTCTTATTAATAATTCTGTCTTTATCTCTATTACTCTCTATTTATCATTTCAAATGTTCAGTGACTTTGAAAGCCTCCATTGAATTTTCCCATGGCGTTCTCTGTTCTAAGGAAAACAATCTCAGTTTTTTTTTATTTTCACAACACAGCTAAGAGGGATAAGATAGGTTGGAGTTGGTTTCCTTATGGTAGAGATGAGGGGGAGCCAATTGAAGTGTAGAAAGTTACGTGGAGCATAAATAGGGTAGAAAGAGAGAAACTTTTCCCCTTCATTGAGGAGTCACTAATCAGGAGACACAGTTTTAAAGGAAGGAGCAGGAGGTTTAGAGGAAAGAATTTTTCATCCAGAGGGCGGAGGGTACCTGGAACTCACCACCTTAAAAGATGATGGAGACAGGAACCATTACATTTAATAAGTATTTAGATAATCACTTGAAATGCCATGGCATTCAACACTATGGGCCAAGTGCTGGTAAAGGGGATTAAAGTAGACAGAACAAAAACAGAAATTGCTGGAAAAGCTCAGGAGGTCCGGCAGCATCTGTGGAGAGAAATCAGAGTTAACGTTTCGGGTTGAGTGACCCTTCTTCAGAACAGCAGAAGGTAGATGGATGCTTGATAAGCAGCGTGGACATAAGGGGCCGAAGGTCCTCTTTCTGTGTTGTAAGCACTGTATAACTCTATAAATCAATTAATAAGGGATTTAGTTGTCAACGTATACAGGCTGAAGGAACTTGCATTTTTCTAACTACTTCAAGGTTCTTCGGTGAAGCACTTTTGGATCTTCCTGAGAGTGAATAGGCATTTTCTTTGCCTTGGAGACAAGGGAGTGTCTGGACAAACATTTTTATTTTGGGTTTCTGTTCTGAGGAAGGGTCACTGGACCCAAAACGTTAACTTTGATTTCTCTCCACACACGCTGCTAGACCTGCTCAGCTTTTCCAGCAATTTCTGTTTTTGTTGCTTTGGGTTTCTTCTGGCCGGTTGCTGCAGCGATCCTGGCAGAAACCTGTCGGTGGCGCTGCACCCAACAGTGGACACAATGTTAACAAGAAGCTTGCAGATCGGGCAGGGTGATGGCCCCTATGGGATAGCAGGTATAATGTGGCTCAGTAAGATGCCAATGTTGGTTCAACCTTGTACAGACCGAGAAAATTTCAGGATTTATCCATCCTTAATTGCCCTGAAGAAGGTGATGTGGGATTGCCTCCTTGAGTGGCTGCAGTCCTTGGGGTACAGTGAGACACAGTGATATTAGGGAGGAAGTTTGAGCCAACAATATAAAGGAATGGCGGTATATTTCCAAGTCAGGATGGCGCATAGCTTGAAGGGGAACTTGCAAGAGAGTGGTGTTCCCCTGCATTGGATGCCCAAGTCCATTGAAGTGATAGAGACTGTGGATTTGGAAGCTGCTGTTGATGACCCTGCTGTGGGCAATGGTCTGGCCTCAGTCATAGTTACTGCAATTGGACTTAGTATCCCCAAGGCAGTGAAACATGTTGAAATTAGCCAATAAACTGCTGCTATGACTTGTGCTGATTGCAAACAGCCCCTCCCAAACAGCACCTTGGGTATACCTACACTAAATGCATTGCAACAACTCAACAAGACAGCTCACCATCACCGTCTCAAGGGCAGATGGTGGAATTTGATTTCAGTAGAAAAAAATCAAATTAAGAGTCTAATAATGACTCTGAATCCGTTGTCGATTGTTGGAAAAACCCACCGTCCTTTAGGGAAGAAACTGCCGTCCTTACCTGGGTCTAGCCTACGTGTGACTCCAGAACCACAGCAATGTGGTTGACTCTTAACTGACCTCTGGGCAATAAATGCTGGCCTAGCTAGTAACACACATGCCATGAGTAAATAAAGACAGAAAAAGGGTGAGGAAGAGCAGGATTCATTGGCTCATGGTCAATGTTCACTCCAAATTTACAGGGGGGTAACTGAATTTAAGCCTCATATGTCATCGTGGGGCCTTTATCCCCCAATGATTTAGCTTGTTGGCAACAACACTAAGGTGAGTCCTTGAGGCTGGAATGAAGACAAACAGAGAGCAGTCCCAACCTGTGGAATTGTTGTATAGACAGGAGCAGGGTCCCCAGTGCTCCTAGCTCTACATTAAGGTCATGTTTCGAAAATAAAACCTAACCATTTTGGTGAGACTGCAGCCAACTCTTGAAAGCCAGAGTTAAGCAAGAAGAATGTATGGGGGCAATTCAGGAGAAGCTGGAAATAAACACAAGGGAGAAAGAAATAAAAGGCTATGCTGATGAGGTGAGATAGGGGGCTTTGGGGGAAGGTTTGTGTGGACCATAAATACAAGTTGGGCCCAAATGATTGGTTTCTTCACTCTGCATTCTTTGTGCTAGGCCCTCATTGTCATATTCAAGAGGCCTGTTTATGAAGGCTGCTTTGGAATTCATAATATTGCCCAATTTCAAAGAAGCATTGAATGTAATTCAATCATACTTGGCACACAGGAAGCAGCCACAAAACCTTGAACTTTTTTTGCCTACGAAGTTACGAATGAGGAGCAGAAGTAAGACATTCAACCTCTCAGGCCTGCCTCCCCGTTCAATAACAGCACGGCTCATCTAATTGCAACCTGAAAATTCACATTCCTGCCTATCCCTGATAACGTTTCAATACCTTTACTTTATAAGAATCTATCCACCTCTGCCTTAAAAATATTCAAGTGCTCTGGTTCCACCATCTTTTCGAAGAGAGAGGTCCAAAAACTCTGAATACTCTGGGAGAAATAAAAGCCGAATCTCTGTTTTAATTGGATGACCCCTGACTTTTAACCATGACCCTGGTTCTAGATTCTTCCAGAAGAGGAAACATCTTCTCGACATCCATCCTATTAAGACCTCCCTCAGGATTTTACATTTCAATCAATTCGCGTCTTATTCTTCTAAACTCTAACAGGTACAAGCTCAGTCTGTCCAAATTTTCCTCATAAGACAACCTATATATTTCAGATAACAGTCGGTTGCCTCTGGAGAAAAGACTGATTTCTGCTCCATGTCAACTCAGTAACTGCAAGACAAAATAACTTGAAATTCTAGAACGCCCTTCTCAATCTCAGCATATTGCTTAGTATTTCACAGCCTGTGAAGTCCAGCTGGTTGAAGCTAGTCACTGTTGTAATTGAAGAGACAGCACAAGCAAACTGTTGCACAGCAAGCTCCCAGAAACAATGATGTAATAATGACCATTCCATCTGTTTTCACTCAGTTGGACAAGGGACAAATACTGGGAAATGGGTACAACTCTCCTCCTCTTCATCCAGACAGTACTACAGGATTTTTTTTAAACTCCATACTAATGGGGTACAGCTTTACAAAATCATCTGAAAGATAACAATTCTGACAGTTCAGCACTGCCCAGGATTTTAGAAATTTTAGAAAATACAATTCAATATGATCATGGCTGATCATTCAACTAAGTCCCCTGTTGCCGCTTTCTCTACATACCCTTTGATCCCTTTGGCATGAAGAGCCAAATCTAACTCCTAACATTCAATGGTTTGGCCTGGGCAGCTTTCTGAGGTAGAGGCTCACACTTTCTAGGTGAAGAAGTATTTCCTCATCTCAAATCCTTGGGAAAGGACCAGCAATGCTAACCGTCTATCTATTCGTGTAAGGAGGCAGACCACTAATCCAAGACTGATGGAAGAGTTGCCTTGTTAGTAAGAAATTAAATGAAATCAATAGCAAGAAATGATATAGACTTGGAAGGTGTGGAATATGCGTGGGTAGAGTTGAGGAACTGCAAAGGAGAAATAATTCTGATGGGAGTTGTGTACAGGCCCTTAGCAGTAATCAGGATGTGGAAAGAAAATAACTCAGGAGTTTGAAAAGGCATGTAAGAAAGACACTATCACAACAATCGTGGGAGACTTCAATATCAGGTGGACTGGAAAATCAGGTTGGTAGCAGATCCTGAGAAAAGGAATTTGTGGAATGTCTATGAACTTGTGGTAGAGCCCTCTAGGGAATAGGCAATTCTGGATTCAGTGATGTGTGATGAGGCAAACTTGATTAGGGAGCTTAAGGTGAAAGAACCCCTGGGAGACAGTGGCCAGTATGTGATAGAATTTGCCCTGCAGGTTGAGAGGGAGAAGCTTGAATCAAATGTAATGGTACTATAATTGAGTAATGGTAACTAAAAGACATGAGGGAGTAGCTGGCCAGAGTTGATTGGAACAGAAGCCTAACAGGGAAGACAGTGGAGTAGCAATGGCAGGGGTTTCTGGGGGTAACTCAGGAGGCACAGCAGCAATTCATCTCAAGGAAGAAGAAACATTCTAAGGGGAGGATGAGGCAACCATGGCTGACAAGGGAAGTCAGGCAGAGCAATACAAAGAAAAAGCATACAATGTGGTGAAGATTATTGTTGAAGACAGAGGATTGGGAAGCCTTTAAAAACCAGCAGAGGATAACTAAAAACACAGAGAAGATGAAATACGAGGGTGAGCTAGCTACTACATAAAAGAAGATAAGAATATTTTTACATTTTTATATTTTGTTTTTAGACAGGTAAGAGAGAGGCCAGAGTGAACATTGGACCACTGTAAAATGCAGCTGGAGAAATGGTAATAGGGAACAAAGAAATGGCAGCCGAACTGAATAGGCACTGCACCAGTCTTCAGGTGGAAGACACAAGCAGCATACCAGAACTTCCAGAAAGTCCACAGAGGTGAATGTAGTGTCCATCACTAAGGAGAAGGTGCTGGGGAAGCTGAAAGCTCTGAAGGTGCATAAATCACCTGGGCCAGATGCACGACAGCGCGAGTTCTGAAGGAGAGAGCTGAGGAGATTATAGAGGCACTGGTGGTGATCTTTCAGGAATCACTGGAGTCAGGGAGGGTCCCAGTGACTGGGAAATGGCTAATGTAACAGCTCTGTTTAAGGGAGGGAGGCAGAAGACCAGCAATCATAGACTTATTACCCAAACCTCAGGAACTCAGAATTGTTGAGCTGGAGTCTGAGCTTTGAACACTGCGACACATCAGGGAGGGGGTGAATTACCTGGACACAGTGTCTCAGGTGGCAGTCGCACCTCTAACATTAAGTACCTTGACTTTGGTCAGTGGTCAGGGACAGGAGGGTGTGACTGAGTGAGGCAGGTAGAGGGATCCAGGAGGTAGTGCTGAAGGAGCCTCAGCCCTTGAGCGTGTCTAACAAGTTTGAAATTCTTGCTGCCTGTTTGGCCGAGAGTGGGGGCTGTATCGAGGATGAGCAAACTGACCATAGCACCGCAGTACAGGGAGCTATTCAAGGCAGGAGGGAAAGAGAAACTTAGTTGTAATCAGTCCTTGGTAAGATTTTGTGGTTCATTTTTAAGGATGAGATTGCAGAGTGCTCAGAAGTGCATGGTAAAATAGAGCTGAGTCAGCACAGCTTCTTCAAGGGGTGATCCTGTCTGATTGAGGAGGTAACGAGCAAGTTAGACAAAGGAGAGTCAGTGGATGTGGTGTATTTGGATTTCCAGAAGGTCTTTGACAAGGTTTTATACAAGAGGCTGCTAAATAAGATCCCATGATGTGAGGAGCAAGGTACTGATATGGACAGTTCAGGATTCTCTTCAGGTTAACATGCAGGTTCAGTTGGCAGTTAGGAAGGCAAATGCAATGTTAGCATTCATTTCAAAAGGTCTAGAATACAACAGCAGAGATGTACTGCTGACGCTGTATAAGGCTCTGGTCAGACAGCATTTGGTTAGAGTGGGCATAGAGATGTTTCCACTAGTAGGAAAGACTAGGACCCAAGGGAATAGCCTCTGAGTGAAGGCACGACCCTTTAAAACAGAGATGAGGAGTAAATCTTCAGCCAGAGGGTGACAAATGTGTGGAACTCGTTGCCACAGAGGGTCGTGGAGATAAAGTCATTGAGCGTATTTAAGACAGAGATAAGTAGGTTCTTCATTAGTAAGCTCATTAAAGGTTACAGGGAGAAGGTATTGAGAAACATATCAGCCATGATTGAATGGTGAAGGAGATTCAATGGGCCGAATGGCCTAATTCTGCTCCTATATGTTATGGTTTTATGAAAGCAGGATAATTTTAACAAGACGGATGGTCACCTTTCATTTCCGAGTTGTGGATAGCAATGGTTGAATCTTCTCATAGCTACAAGGTTTCTATTGCCATACTTATTACAGAACTTAAGAAACAGAGTAGGCAGGGGCCATTCAGCCCCTCAAGACTGCAGCCCCCATTCAACAACATTTTGACTGATCGCCCCAGATCCTCTTTTATGTCAGCTCATCATAGACCAAACTTTCAATTCAAGGTTCTAAGTGGAGACTTCTCATCTTGTCTTACGGAGAGATTGTGATTTTTGTTTCGGTATCCTGTTCCACTTTTTTTAGATTACGGCCTTCCTTCCCAATCAGCCTGCCAACAAAGTTATTGTGTGCCAGTATCTTCAAGGGAACGTCTTCAGCTCTGTGGAAACAAGGTCAGCATTAGCATTAACGCAGGAAAATATAGCTAGGAAATATATATAACAAGAGTGTGGGGTCTATCAGAGTGTTACAGTGAGGGGTATGGGGTTTATCAGCGTGTCACAGTGAGGG